CGCCAACACGTTCGGCGGCGCCATCTTCCTGACGGTGGCGCAAACCATCTTCACCAACAGCCTGCGCAAGCACGTCGAGGAGTACGCGCCGACCATCGACCTCCAGCAGCTCCTCGACGCCGGCGCGAGCGGCATCCGCGGCTTGGTCTCGGAGGCCGATCTGCCTGGGGTTTTGAGGGCCTACTCGGAGAGCGTGGATCAGGTCTTTTATCTGCTGACTGCGGCGAGTATATGTGCATTTATCGCGGGGTGGGGCATGGGATGGTATGACTTGCGCAAGAAGAAGTTGCCGCTGCCGGGAAGTGCAGAGGCATAATGGGCGTGGGTTGTAGTTGATGATAAGGCTGGATAAGTGACTAAGACACCTAGATTGGGGGTCGTTGTTAGAGTTGCTATACTTGCATCATGACTCGGGATATTTAGGAGTACCTACTCTCGGGGACTAGACAGCAATTGGAGTTCAGGAAGACGATAGGAATTTCTCTTATATAAATTAGTAATAATACATAGTACCTACAGGTTACTCCCTGGGGACTTTTCTTTTCGAAAAGTTATGCTCTACACGTCGCATCGATTGAGTGTAGCTACTTTATAGGTGCTCAAAAGTTTGGATTTGTCCTCGTGGAGATATGACCTGGTTGTGCAAAAAGGGACGTCACCTACAGGATTCGAACCTGTGCTCCCGAGGGAATTGCCTAGCAGCTATTGGTCAGATAGCAGGGCAACGCGTTAACCACTCCGCCAAAGTGACTGTGGAACTGATCATGTGATATGGTCCTCTAAACATAGCATATAGCGACAGCATCTGTGTCGCTTTATCCACAAACACCCTTTCGTCACTGAGAGCAATGAATATTGAAAGTCACAACAATGGAATAGAGAATGGTAACAATAGAATGGATTGATTGGTATCTGAGCGCCTCTAATATCAAGCCTTCGGCTGTACAAAATCAGGCCCCCCTTTTCGTTCCCGTCCTATTAACCCGCGGCAAGACATGATAAGTTAGAAGTTAGAACCGCTCAGTGAGCAAAACGGAAATCCAGCCTCTTTAGCCCCTCATCGGTGCTATTGAGCGTGTAATCGATCTTCTCCTGCTCGGTCAACCGGTTCCACTTGGCCTCACGCGACCTATTCCGCCAGATGTAAAAGGCCTTGACAAGGTAAAATAGGGCGACGTTGAAGCAGGTAATGCCCAGAAGGATTTTGTTTCCACGCTTGTAGAGCGGCTTGTCGTCTTCGCGGTAGATATTGCTGCCGATGATATTGCCACTTTGGACGAACATGTTATACAGGGCAGCAGAAACCGCGCGGGTGCGCACGGCATTGCTGTTCTTGGCGTTCCACGCGACGAGAATGGCGTGGCAGTAGGGGTACGACAGCAGACCGGTCAGCAGGGCGTAGCGCGTCCAGTTGGACACGGTGCCCGGGAGCGCGACGAGAGCGACGAGCCATGGAAAGATCCAGATGTTGGAGACGGACGACACGATGGACCGCTCGCCGAACTTCTTGGACACCCACGTGATGATGAGCAGATTAACGGCGAAGAGGAACTGCGACGGGATGGCAAGCAGGTTGGCCTGGAAGACGGAGAAGCCGATCTGGCGAAGGATGAATGAAAGATAGGTTCCAGGGGGCGAAGGGGGGATGTAGGCCGTGAGGCCGATGATGTAGAGCGGCCACATCTCCCAGTCCTTGAGGGCCTTCCACAACCTCTTGGGGCCGACGGCCTGGCGGTTATTCATGTCGCCCTTGCTGGGGTCGTCACGCAGCAGACGGTTGACGATGATGCTTTCCTCGCGCTCGGAGAACCAACCGTCCTTGCCACGGAACCAGTTGCGAGTCTGGCATGGTCCGGGAGGCATGAGACCCCACGAGAAGATTCCGACGACAAGGGTGAGAAGCCCCTCGATGAGGAACAGCCAGCGCCATCCCGACCATCCCCGGATGCCTCTCATCTCGAGGATGCCGGCAGCCAGGAGCGAGCCAACGATATTGACTGTGCTCAGCGCCGTCCAGAACCAGGCAAGACGGGTCGGCAGCTCACCCGACTTGTAAAAGTAGGTCAACCAGAGCACAATGTCGGGGATGAAACCGCCCATGAGGAGACCGAGCAGGGCCTTGATGGCGTAGAAGGACGCCCGGTTGTGGATAAAAGCCTGCGAGCCGGCCACGATGGACCATCCGATCATGATGGTGGGAATCCACCGATCAGCGCCGAGCTTCTTGCTGACCAGGCCGCTGGGCAACTCGGCCGAGAGGAAGGAAGCCAGGAAAATGGTCTGGCCATAGTTGAAGTCGTTGGTGTCCATGCCTTGAAAAGGGGGTTAGTCTGTGGGCTTGGTCCGGCTTGAAGACTCAGAAAACTCACCAATCTCTGGCAACATGTTATCCGAGATGGCGCGGTTGATGTTTCGGCGGTGCATATCCAGCGCGCAGAACATGATCCAGGCCCAGAGCATGATGCGCAAGTCGATCTTGCGCACCAGCTTCTTCTCTTCCTCGGCCGACCATTGGAACTCGGGATCAAACCGGTGACGGTTCTCGTAGCCTGCCTTCTCGTAGACACCACGCCAGTAGTCGGCTATGGGGGGATCCTTGAAGAGATGCTCGTCGTTCGAGCCATAGCCCTCGGAGTCAACAAGGCTCTCGCGGGAGACGGCGCCGGGGCTGGACCCGCCCGGAGATGTTCCGATCTCCTTGGAGTTATGGCCCAGACCCTTGGTCTCGAGGATGGGAGCCGACATGGTCCCGACAGACTGGTAGCGAACGGGAACAGGGTGCGAAATGACGATGAGCTGGATGAGTGCCCTCCGAGACACGGGTCCTGCATCTCCGCGGGGGGAAGCACATGGCTGGATCGTCGTCCTTATTATATTCGTGTTCCCTCAGTCGAGTGTCGTCACGCTAAGCGACCCGCGACCCGGTTCCAGTCGCACCCAGAGTAACCCCAGTCGGACCCAAAGAGGTCTGGCCGCAGGGCAGACGCGGGGGCGGGGGGCGAGGGTCGATGTTGCAAGTTGGAGGAGCAGTTGCGACATGGCGATCTCGGCTGAAGTCAACCTCTCATAATGCTCCCAGCGTCACCTTAGCCAGTGCCCAGCACCTTATCAATGGCGCCATCCAGCACGTTCATTGCACTGGCGTGACCAGGCACGGGGTGCAGCCCAGGTGCAGCAGGTCCAAGGCCCTGCACCCCAGCCATGTCGCCCCCAGCCCACATATTGCTCGCATATCGTTGCATGTCGTGTCGTGTATCCTACTTCTTTCGCACCTGGCGGCAGCATCACAGCACATCAGTGGAGTCGAACAAGGCCCGCTTGCTCTCGCCTCAGCCCGTCCCGACACGTTCGGGAGCAAAAGTTCCACTGCGCGGGGGACTCAGGCACCCGAAACAGCCCCCTTCCCGACTGGACATCGCCGATTCTAGATGCGCCTCTTGTTCTTTGACGCTATTTCGAACTTGGTGGCTTAAATAGTCGAATCTGCGTGCGTTACCAAGACTTTTGATGTCCACGGGGACCTTCCAAGACTGCACTCCTTTGCGAGAGAAGACTCCGTCAGCTTGGTCCTTATCATGTTGTGAGATTTGGACGGCTCCAACGATGGCGTGCTACCGGGATGGTATTATGTCGTCTGTAGCCGCCCCGTTAATGCCATACCCTCGCTGCCGAATCAACTTCCCGATTGGATGCCCCCGCGCTGCGTTGGCTTTGTTGACAGGCTGCGATTTAAGGGTCTAAAGGTCCGAGTTACTCGTAAGCGAGTTGATCTCACGGATATACTAATCGCTCAAACTTAACGCAAGACCTGCCCGACGTGGATTTACCGCTCCTGGTAGTTTGGCATGTGGTTACGTTATGTCCTGCCATGAAGAAGTGACCATTGTGTCACCGCGTTCTCCTGCATAGTAGACACGCCAAGACTTTGTCGGGATACACTACCGGATTTGGGGGCCAAGCCCCCAAGCCCCCCACGCTTCCCTTTGTGATTCCAGCCTCCAAAGAACAGCACGCCATTGATAGCACTGAGAACTCTGCAAGTCACGAACATTCATTACCATCCTTCCCCAGATCCCGTGTATGCAATGCAACCCCGCGATATCTTGCGTGGCGGGGGCAGATGCTTTGAGGCCTGGGCTTCTCACACAGCCGTGAGAAAAGGGGGAAATTGATCGTCCATGCACCTTCATCTCTCCGAGGATCTGGGTCAAAGGATCTGGGAACTGCAATGCTGCGAGAGAAATGGCGCCGACAGCCCGGGGTGCATGAGATAACGAGCTGTGTGGGTTAAACTTGAATTGTACATACCAACAAGAACCACAGTAACTTCCCGAGCTATCGACTGTCTAGCTCCATCTCTGAACCTCGAGTAACTCTGACATGTAACCAAGCAACATGACCTAACAGGAGAATGGAGGCGCGTATATCAGTGTTTTTCTTATGTAAAGTGCCACCAAGGGCTAGAAACTTTGATCAAGACAGGCAAGATTACGCAGAAGAAGCTAGAGCGACATCAGTCTACGCTCACCCCATCCTCCCGTTTGCATGTCTAGCTCACCCGGCACCTGGTCCCTTAGCTCTGCTTTGGAATTTTGTCAGCCGAGTGTCGTCTCACTGGGCGCCTTAGTCAATCCTACGAGATTCTCGCTTATCATCCTGGCCAAGTTCGAAGAGCTAGTAAGGCAAGTAACTGTGTTCCATTTTCACAATATTAGGCATCCTCACCGCTTTCTTTTTCATCTTGTGTGCTACTTCCGAACTTGGACTGAAAAACACACAGCGATCTAATTTCAGGTTTTGTGCTCCGAGTCATGAGTAGCTTGTCAACTTTCATGGTCAGAAGGGTGTGGCATGCACAAGAAAAGGAAACTGCTTTACTTACGAGATCTCTTACTTACGGCTAGATGTTTATTTATAGTTTGCCGAGCACCTGGCGAAGTGGCCAAACGACTCCTACACTTGGACGCTCACAACCGTTACAACTTCATCAAAAAGAAATCGGCCCGCTGGCGCAATTGGTAGCGCGTCCGCCTCCAGAGCGGAAGGTTATCCGTTCAAATCGGGTGTGGGTCAATTCCAATCTCCCATGTCTCCATTCGGAGATGATGGTAATATTCAGTGTTGTTCTTTTTTTGTTGTGGGGTCCTTGTTTTCCTCAGGGCTAAGCGAAACCTCCACAGCGGTGTGAGCGAGGCATTCGCGGCTGTTTCAAATCCTTGTAAATCAAAAAGACCCTGCCCCTTCGGAGAAATTCTTTTGCTTGGCAGTGTGACCTCAGCTCACACGAAATTTACCGTCTGGATCATGGATTGAAGCTTCCTTCGATCTCTTTGGGTGCTACCCAAAATCAGGCGGAACGATCAGACCGCCGAAACAGTGCATTGTTTTCCTCGGCATTTCATGCGGGGGGGGTTGCCCGTGCGAGGCTGCTCGGATTCTAAGGCTTGGCTTCGCCCAAAGGGACATACAAAAGAACACTAAGGTGCAGCTGCAACACAGCTTTGGTAGCAGGGCGTAGATCAATGTGCACCACAGCCTAACCCTAGTACTAGGTGGCTCGTTCATCCATGTTGTTGATAGTTCTTCCATCATTTTAAACCCGTGCTTCCCGAAAATAACTCTTCGTCACTCCTGGGAGTTGATTGTGTGCGGGCTGAACAACAGCAGTTGAGAGCGTGAGCACCGCATCAATGGAGAATTGTCCGACTACATTGTTGCACTATTCATTATAGCTCAAGGGATTGCCAAAGTTGCCGCTGCAACTTGAATGATGGCACGGTCCGAGACTCCAAGTTGAATCCTTCAAAATGCGGCGCAGGAATCCAGAGATCACAAAGAACTGGTCCAGGGGCGCAGCCGTACAATACTCAAACAACTAACCCTACTTTGCACTATCTAAAAGGCCCGAGTCGGCTGGAAAGAGGTGGTAGGAATGCATCCCAGTCGACGATCTGAAAGCACTGCAATCGTGCCGCGACCACGGTCTTGGAGTGCATCAGTCCTGTGCCGCAAGAAAAGTAACATTTCTCCTTTAAGAAACAACCGATCCCATCTCTATGGCAAACTCCTCCCGTTTCGAGGGAGTAAAAGGTCAAAATTCGTTGCGCATCACAACAACGGAAATCCGCCTTGGGCAGGGGTCGTCAACGAGTTGGGCCAACAACTAGCCCCAAAAGAGAACAACTTCTAAGCGCGGCAACTGCACAGGCTGTAGTACCACCACCAAACAGGAAAGAACCACAAAGATTTCTCTCCCAATGAGGCCGGTGGCAGTCTACCACCCACTTCTTTAATATGAATGCGACCAACACCCACGGGGAGGGACAATGGCAACGTGTGGAAACACCCCAACCAGCCGACAGAACAAACCCGACAGCTCCGAGTCGTCAGCGCCATGCGGTGTGGTTAGAATCTAGACTTGGCAACTGGCTGTTTGAGTTTCTTTGGCTTCTGCTCAGCTTGCTCTCATTTCTGGGTGAGTAATCAATGTAGCTTTGGTGTTGAGGGCAAAGGCAAAATGCATGAAACGAGCCAGCCACTAACAGCATACGGCAGCAATCGCAATTGTACTTTCGATATACGATGGCAAGCCCCTCCCCAGACTGCCCCTCGGAATTACTCTCAACACCTTTGTCGCCTTGTTCTCGAGCATCTCCAAGGCCTCGTTCATGATCCCGATTATCGAGGCCATCAGCCAATGCAAATGGAACTGGTTCCACACCGAGCATCCTCTATCCGACTTTGAGACGTTTGACACAGCCAGCAGGGGGTTCTGGGGAGCTGTCACTCTGATTTGGAGATTCAAGTGGAGAAGCGTCGCGAGTCTCGGGTCCGTTGTGGCCATTCTCAGCATCGTATCCTCGCCCGTCACGCAACAAGTAATCGAGTACCCCACCCGCTTGGCCATCTCACAAACGGCCAACAATGTCACAACAAAAGCGGTCAAATCATGGGCATTTGATCCCAATGTGGGACCACGGGCTGTCGGAGAGACCATCCTATCGACCGTGCTCACCGGCTTCCTGACGCGGCTTTCAGACCCCATCCAACCGCTGGATGTGCCCTGCCCAACCGGCGCCTGCACATTCCCAGTTTTCAACTCGCTCGGAATCTGCGTCAAATCGGCCAACATCTCATCCCTGCTCACCGTGGCCGAAACCACCCCAAACCCCGATGCCTGGCCGCTAGTAATGTTGGTGACGAATGCCAGCCGGCAGTACGAAGTGTCGCTCGGGTCCGCCTCGCGCGAGTGCAACATGACGGTCCCGTCGACGCTGGGCTTCCGCACCTGCCGCACGCACACCAACGAGTCCTTCGGCTTCTGGGACGACGAGGACCTGATGGCCGCCAAGGTGTACTCGTTCCCGCTCATCTACTCGATGATGGACTCCAACATCTTTGCCGACCCGTCGGACCCGGGCCCGGTGCGGTGGGGCGCCATCGAGATCTTTTTCCACCTGTGCGTCAACACGTACAACGTGTCCATCGCCTCGGGCACCCTCTCTTCCGCCCCCGTCGCCTCGGCCCACCTCGGCCCGGCGAACAACACCAACACGCCGCTGGGGATCGAGTGCAATGAGATGACCAACTCGGCTGAGCCCATGCAGTGCTTCCCGAACCGGGGGCCGGAGGAGGCAACCACCTTCCTCGCTCTTGGTGACCCGTCCAAGCCCGACTCGATGGACCAGGCCGATTACTTCCGCGCGCAGCGCTCGTCGCTGTACACCCTGATCGATGCGCTGCACTACACCTCCGCCGGCTTGTACTTGTACGATCCTATCGACAACTCGGACAACGGCTGGGCGATCAGCTCCGGGAATACCCAGTTCGTCGAGGCGCTGTACAATAATGAGGGGCGATTTTTTAATGATACCGAGCCGCTGGATCCCGCCGTGCAAGTTGAGAATGTCATGGTGATTATGGGTAATGTGGCGACAGGGTTGACGAATATGTGAGTTTGCTCAAAGGGGGGTACCAGAGATGTGGCTAATGCGAATAGGATGCGCTCGGCGAAGGACTGGAAGGAAGGAGGGGGGGGGTTCAACGCCGAGGTTATCAAGGGGGATGCACTGGCTGAGGTCACGTTTGTCTTTGTCCAGTGGGGGTGGATTGGGTATATGGCGTTCGAGATTTGTCTAGCTGGGGTATTTTTGACCTTGACGGTCGTTTACACTGGGCGGTTGGGCGTCAAGGTTCTCAAGACATCGCCCTTGGCAACCTTGCTGGCGCTCGATGCCGGGACCAGGGCTACAGTGGGCGGGATTACGACGACGAAGGAGGTCGAGGGCAAAGCCCGGGAAGTCAAGGTCGGGCTGGTGGGTAACGGGAATGTGACGAGTTTGGCGGAGTCGGCTTCAGAGACGCCGATTGCAGAGACGATGGGTTCGGTTTTAAGTGCTGAAAAGCCTGCCGGGGCTGGTGGAGGGTTTGATACTGGAATTTTCGGCCTTGACGGCCGAGATAATTCATTTTGAGCGAGTGATGATACGGGGGTGAATGAGTAATATACTAATGGTTGCAAAACTCGCCAATGTCCATTTTGTCGGTTTATCTTCTCTTATAATACTGTGAACACGCAGCAATCCCTGCAGTCTTCACATGCATAGGCACCCAGAACCAGATATTTGGAAAAACAAGAATGCGTTGTGGTAGATCCAATGATACGGAAGTGATCGAATCATTTGTCTTTCATGTGTGTGGATTCCTGGCATACCAGACATGCCACTGACTCCTTTCCATTTATTTGGATGATCCCGTTTTCTTTTCCTAATCCACCCTTTCCATTTTGGACGCATCTCTGTACAATATCATAACATCATCTCTCTCAGCTCTTGTTAGTTCCGTATCCGCTCTCCGCCTTGGCGCCAAAGTCAAACACCTCGTTGATACCTCTCTCGTAAAATAGCACATTCAAACATGAGACTCCCGAGAGAGCCAGCTCCTCGAGGACCTCGGCATTCTTCTTGATATCCTGCGCTCTTGGAACAACGCCCCGGTCCAGCAACATCTTCTCGGCCGTGCCCACTAATATCATCTCCTTTGTCTTGGGCAATCTATCCAAAATTCTACTTGTCTCATCGGGAGTGAGAGGACCCATGGGTGGGCCCGACGCAAGGCTGGTAGACGGGGCCTCTACCGCTTTGCCTACGGGGCCAGAAGCCATTGCGAGTGGCCGATGGATGCCCTTATCCCTCTTGGTATCACTGCTGATCCGATGAACCGGCTTAAGCAAGGAGTTGCGTAGACGACCCATGTGCTTCCTGGGGACGGGCCTTAAAGCTGTTTGCTCATACCATGAGTCCACAGTGGCGCATAGATTCTCGTAAGATGACATGCGCGTGAGACGAGACACATCGCGCAGCCCCCCCCAAGATACAGCATGGCGATCTGAACATTGTCGGGTGGTGGCTCGCTGAGGTAACCCCGGAACGGGCGTTCAACGTGGCCGAGGTACGAAGGAGGTCGTAGGCGCCGGGCTTGGTATGCCATGAGCAGTGGGACCTGTTCGAATACGGCTCATTCGCCTCTATCAAAACCCATCGACAAATCCTCAATGTTGCCCCGCTGCTGCGAAAATCCAGACCACGGCCTGAGTTACTGCAACTAGTCTCACAATCGCTGGGAAAGGCAGACCAAATCCACCACGATATGTCCATCAACCTGGTTGTTAGGCTGATGCTCATGATCAAGGTTGGCATTGTACCCCATGAAGCCATCGGCGGCGGTATGGAGTGGAAAACGGGTAGCTTGCAAGATTTCGTCCATCGGCAATTCCCTGCCACCCCGCGGAGGAGCCATGAGCGCCTCAAGCTAGAGAAAACCTTCACAGCGCTCAATCGACAACTGGGAACACCAACAGGCTTCTGACAAATCTAGTCCGCTGTACCCTCCCGGTTTTATCGCCGAAACGCTTCGAACAATCTCACTACTCTTTCCACAGGAAGTTCTAGCGACCAGGAAGTGGTTCCCCAGCATTAGCAAAGCTTCGAAGCCGCCCCTTGATCGTCACCTTGTCAAAGCTGGGTTTCTTGCTACAGGCGCCAGGCAGTTTGAAGACTTTCACTTCTGGCATG